TCCACCAGCCGTCATAAATCCAGCCACAACTCCCTGTATGCTCGCCTTCACTCCGTACACCAGCGCTGTCCTGCCTTCTACCCCTCGTGGACCATGGACGAGTCGGTGTGCAGGATGATGGGCCCCAAGCAATTCCTGAGGGAGATGACCCCCGCCTGCAACTTCCTTGCTCTACTGTGAGGCGGAAGCGGCCACGGCACATTCCCCCACAGGGTCGTTCGCTCCGCGTCGTTGGCCCAGGTCCACACTGCCGCCCAGCTAGCCTTGGCCAGCTGTCATGGTGATGACGATGGTGATAGTTAGTGACAACGGTGATGGTGATGGTGTTGAGGATGTTGATAATGATGGTGGTGACGATGATTATACTGATGGTGGTGATGATGTCGATGCTGGTGACGAAACTGGTAATGGTGATGCTGATGCTGGTGATGATGCTGATGATGAAGATGATGAAGATGATGATCATGCTGAGCGTGATGATGATGATGATGGTAAAGACGATGACAATGACGATAGTGACGATGATGATGATGATGCTGATGATGCTGATGATTACGATTATCATGATGACCGTGATGATCATGTTGATGGAGATGATCATGACGATGACGATGGTAACGGGGATGCTCATGATGATGATACTGATTACGATGATGTTGATGCCGTCGATAACGATCATGATGATCATGATGATCATGATGATCATGATGATCATGATGATCATGATGATGATGGTGATGATGGTGATGATGATGACGGTGACGATGGTGACGATGATGGTGATGAGGATGACGATACTGATGTCTATGTAGCTGATGCTGATGATGGTGATTATGATCATGCTGATTGTGATGATGAAGCTGGTGATTGTAACGATGACGATGTTAATGCTGCTGATGATTGTTATGATGGTGATTTCGTACCATGATGATCATGATGATCGTGTTGATGATGACGGTCATGTTGATGACCTTAGCGATGGTGACGATGAGGGTGGTGATGATGCTGGTTACGATGGTGATGATGATGCCGATGATGGTGATGATTGCCATCGTAGTTCTCATGATTGTCGTGGTGATGGTCACGATGATGATAATGATGGTGGTGATCATTATGCTGTTGACACTGGTGACGATGATGATCATGATGTTGATGACGACGGTGATGATGACGCTGATGAGGATGATGATGACGATGGTGATGACAATGATGGTGATGATACTGATGTCAGTGGCAACGATGATGATGCTGATGGTGATGATGGTGGTGATGAGGGCGATGACAGCGGTTGCGCTGACGGTGATGACGATGCTGTTGATAACGATGATCATGATGATGCTGATGATGGTGAGTGTTCCGATGATGATGGTGATGATGGCGATGATGATGATGATGATCATGATGACGATGACGATGGTGACGATAATGGTGATGGTGCTCGTCACGCTGATGACGATGGTGTTGATGATAATCGTGACGATCATGCATATTGGGTAGCTGATATGTATGCTGGTGGTGATGATGGTGACGATTCTGATGGCGACGATCGTGACGCTGATGCTGATGAAGCTGATATCGCTGATGATGATGATGATCATGCTGACCATGATGCTCGTGATGGTGGTGATGATGATGATAGTGATTACGTTGATGACCATGCCGATGGTGACTATGCGGTTGATGATGATGATGGTGATGATGACGAGCATGATGTTGATGGTGATGCTACTGATACTAATGACGATGTTGATAATGATGACGATGTCGATGACGGTGATGATGGCAATGCTGCTGATGACGTTGACGACGATTGTGATGTTGATGCAGATGACAATTACAATGGTCACGATGATGCTGATGACGATGATGGTGATACTGATGCTGATGATGATGATGACTATGATGAACAGGATTATCGTCCTGATGGTGATGGTGATGATCATGACGATGGTGACGGTGATGCTGATGCTTACGATAATAATGACGTTGCTTACGATGATGGTATTGATGTGGTTAATGATGTTGTTGTTGTTGATCATGATGATCGTGATGATAATGGTGTTGCTGATTATGATGATAATGATGCTGATTGCGGCGAAGATATTGGTGCGGTTGATGATGCTCGTGATGATGATCATGTTGATATCGATGATGAGGATGATGGTGATGGTGGTGTTGATGATGAGGATGACGATGACGATGGTGACGATGATGTTGGGGATGATGATGCAGCTGGTGATCATGATGGTCATGATGATGATGACGATGATGATGCTGCTGATGATGAGTGTGATGTTGAGTATTGATGCTGATGGTGATGATGATGATAATGAAAATGACGATAACGACGATGATGCTGATGATGAGGTTGGTGGTGGTGATGATGATGACGATATGTCTGATGATGCCGATGGTGACGATGGTTGTGATGATGGTGGTATTCGTGATGATGATGACGATGATTTTGATGGTGATGCGTGTTATGATGACGATACCGATG